CATGCTTCGGCCGATTTCTTCCAGTGTTCCCTGTAGATTACTTTATGTTTTAAGATGCATATTCACCACAGAGCAAACACTTACTTAGACGCATCAGAACCATGACGATCATCCTCATCTACAACTTCGCGCTTTGGTCCTGCAAATTCCAATTACAAAGCCAGAACATATCCGAAAATTCTCACTTTTTTCTAATCCATAGTTCTTTCCAGACGTATCCCTCTCCGTAGACTGATGCGTATCTGACGGCTCCTTCTTAATCTCTCGGCTTCGTTCTTCACCGTTGCCTCTTCGATCTCTGAAAAATAAATATAAGAAAAGAACTGGCTAGAGATACGTGAGTTGTACCTTTCTTTCTGTGAATCACGACCGCCAGTATCGTTTCGACCACCACCCTGTGGAGATCTTCTACTGAAATTGAACAAATAATTCTCATTGTACAAAGAAGTAAGCACAAATATCACCTTTCTTTCCTTTCGCGAGATGGCGATCTGGATTTGGACCTAAAAAGAAGCATGAAATCTCAGGCATTCTCAAACTGCAAAATTCAGAATTCGCGACGACGTTTTTCATATAATGGTAATTTTGGCTCGAAATCGAGTCTAGCATTTGTGATTAATCGCACACTTGATGGCCGAAGTCAGAAGGGCAATGCAATCAGTAACGAGAAGCGGTAAAGGAAATGCTGCCAAGCGCATAAGTACCGCGCAACTCCAACAAAATCAACCAAAAACTTCAGGCTAGATTGTCTTAATTTATGCTATTCTCCGACCCACCTTCTACGATTTCTACTGTCTCGCTCATCCGTAATTCTGGAACAGCTTCTCTCAAATCAATGCAAAAACAAAACAGTAGAGTAAATTAAACCAAAAAAGTGTTCAGTGCCTACAATAATTTAGATTTATAAAATCAGTTAAACTCACAAGATATTCGCAACTGTGAAAATTCCCACCTATGTCGTCTAGGCGATGGTTCCTTGCGCGATCGTTTTGGGTCGGGAGATGTCCTGAAAAAGAGGATCCCCGACTCTGCTTCTCTTCTCTCTTCTACCAGGAAAAAAAGCCAAAATGTTGTAATTCAAGTCGTACCTCTTTTTCGAAGATGGTGAGGGTGCTTTCTTTTGTTCTTCTGATGAGCTAGTCCTAAAA